CCCAGGAACTGCAAGGGAAGGCAGTGTGTCCGACACCTGTCACAACCCCCTGACTTAACTCCCTTTTCTGGTCTAGTACCTCGAGCACCTTCTCATGGCCTCTTGCTCCTGGCCTTCCGGGCTTGTCCTTACATATCAGCTGGAGCAGAATTTTGGGGTGAGCAGATATGACCATGCTGGAGTTCATCCGGTAAGAACTCCAAGACACCGGGCGGGCCAGCACTGCCAGGCCTGTGACGCAGCCCACAGGCTCTAAAAAGGCCAGGGACAGGTCACACATGTCTGGCCCGGCACCTGGTGAGTGGCCGGAGCCTGTAACAGGCACCCCAGGGGACAGCAGGCTCACATTCCCCAGGGCAGCTCCAGGGCCTCCACTGAACAAAGCGTCCTGACCAATAGGTGGGGCGGCTGGAGGAAAAAAACACCCCGGTGACCACAGCAATGAAGCGGCCCTGCGGAAATTCCATCTCCAGCTGCCTGTGACATGGCCAGAGCTGGTCCCAACTGGCTGGACCTGCAGGGGACACTGAATCCCCGGGGCTCACGTGCTCCCTTATCGACATCTCCCTTATTATATATTAAGGACGAGCAAGAGAGACGAGGTGCCCACAATGCCAACCAGGCGCATTGCTCCCCCCACCCACAGGGAGTGAATGGCACCGCCAGGTACACAGGGAAAGGGACAGGGTCTCAGGGGCCCCTCGTGACTGTGGGAGGGACAGAGGACACACACACACACACATACCCCTCCGGGCAGGGATCCTGAGTCTGTCCTGCCAGCTTGCCCATCCCTGCAGAGATGGAACCTGGGGTAGCAAAATACCCATCAGGTGCCTAAATGTGACTGGGAATAATGAATGTCCTTCATTCGACCCAGGAGGGCTGGGACTCAGGGAGGGAAGCCAGAGATCTTTATCCGTGTGAGCAGGAGAGGCCAGCACCTCAGCTCTAGGCTTTGGCCACCGGGTGCTTGGGAGCTGGGCGAGGCTCTGGGCGGAGTCTGGTTGGAAACCTGCTTCTGCAGCTATTTCAGGGATGGGTGACCTTGGGTGAGTGACTTCATCAGGCTGAGCCTCAGTTTCCTCCCCTCCACCCGAGGGCATCATCATTATCTTTGCCCCACAGGGATGTTTGAGATTCTTGCAGCACCCATAAGTAGGATGCAAGGGATCTTGGGATAAGGATGTCAAGCCCCAGACTCAAGCATAGGTGCAACACACTTGTGTATGTGAGCGTGCACATGTGAGTGCACACACACACACACAAACACACACACACACACACCAGCACTAGGGCTTGAACTCAGGGCCTGGGTACTGTCCTTTAGCTTTTTCCACAGAATACTAGTGTTCTACCACTTGAGCCACACCTCCACTTCTGGCTTTATTGCTGATTCATTGGAGACAAGTGTCTCAGGGACTTTCAAGCTCAATTAGCCTTGAACCATATCCAGAAGCTTCCTAAGTGGCTAGGATTACAGGGGTGAGCCACTGGAGCCAGGCTTGCAACCCACAGTCCTGACCACCAGACAGTTCACGTCACGGTGTTTAAAGGTCCTGGAGGCCAACAGCTTGAGCTTCTGCCCGCTGCCGACCTCCTGGCTTGGCCCTGGGGCGCAGCAGTGCTAAGGCGCAGCCTGCCCAGCCTCGGCTTCTCTAGGTCCCTATGGAAAGCTGGAGATAATTTCTCCTGTTGCCATATAAGTCCAGGCCTAGCTGGCCTGGGGTCACCTCCCAAGCCATCGGGACGCGGGGAATGCCAGCTATGTGAAGGGAGTAGGAGGCACTGATATGCATACGTACACACACACACACACGCATGCGCGCGCACACACACACATATACAGTGTGTATGTGGGGGGTACCCACAAAAGAGATGGAGCAGATGAATAGTCCAGCTTCAAGTTGTAGCTGTTTCAAGCCTGGCAGTTCACTTCTCTCAGGGTTGTTGTTTGTGAAATGGGAGCGGCAGCATCTCCACTTCACAGGATCACAGTCGGCGTCTCAGCACATTCCACGTGCCCAGAAAACAGCAGCAGAAACTAACAAGAACCCCCTCAAAAAGCTGCATTTCCAGGTACCAGTGGCTCCTAGCTACGCAGAAGGCTGAGAGCTGCGGATCACAGTTCAAAGCCAGCCTGGGCAGGCAAAGTCCGTTAAGACTTTTATATCCAAACTGAACAGCAAAAAGCCAGAAACAGAGGCTAACAGAGGGTGTTAGCCTAGAGCAGAAAAACTAAAGGATAGCACCCAGACCCTGAGTTCAAGACCCAAATCTGGCACCCCCCCCCAAAAAAAGTGGCACTTTGTAGAGCTGCCCTGGAACCTCACCAGACCCACCAATTCAAGTTTGACCCTTACATCTTTTTTTATTTTTGGTTGGTTGTGGGGCCTGAACACTGTTTCTCAGCTCTTCAGCTCAAGGCTGGCGCTCTACCACTTGAGCCACAGTGCTACTTGGGGCTTTTTCTGCTTATGTGGTGCGAACCCAGGGCCTCATGCATGCAAGGCAAGCACTCTACCACTGAGCCACCTTCCCAGCCCCCTCGACCCTTAAGTCTTGAATACTTTATGACAACAATTGCTCAGACTCAGCTACCATGCTGCCCTCTGCACGATGGCTGGCACCAGGGGAGGAGAAAGACCCCCCCCAGGGAACTGGAATGTTGGCTCAGAGAAGCCCTGAAGCTGCTGTCCCAGCTAAGTTCTACCTAAGACAGCAGCCAAGCGACCCGAAGCAATGAGTCACAATGCTTGGTCCTGCATCTCCACAGCCACCTTATTCCCCTCCCCCAACCTGTGCTCCATTGGTCAGTAAAAACTGTACTCCAAGGCCACCAAGCCAGCGCTTTCCAGAATATGCCATCCTGGGCCACCTTTCCTACAGTCCTGACCATGGCTGAACCACTCACTCAAGCAGAGCTACTCTCCGCCCCTCCCCTCCCCTGCCAACCAGCACTCGCTGTGGCAGGGAGAGCACCCAGGATGGGCCCCCCATATATCTCAGGCATACTCCCTGACTCTGGAGACACTCCCCCCAAACCAGTAGTGATCATGAAGGCAGCCAGCTCTCCTGTGAGCTCTCCAGAGATGGTCCATTGTAGATGACAGTTCTCATGATCTCTTGCGGGCAGGGAGGCGGGCTCAGAGAGAACCAGTTTGCCTTGGGTCTCACAGTGGGTCCCTGACTACCTGCCTCAGGATTCTAAATGACAGTAAGGCCATCTCGAATCTGCTAGGACGGGAAGCAGCTCCCAGCTTCAGCGTTTGCCTTCAGGCTCTTTCTTCCAGGGGCCATGCCTTGGACCACAGCTCTCCAGCGGCCTGGGCTCATGGAATAGGTCTCAGACTTGCAACCAGGCTGGGAAGGGACCCTAGACTGCAATTTCTGCCCCTGGCTTCCTGTGGGGCCTTGGGTCGGCTGCCTGTCTTCTCTGGGCATTGGGGCTCCTGAACTGGCCAGACCACAGCCCTTTCCTGAACTTTCACGCCAGTTCCAGTGCTCTCCAAATTAGCGCTCCATAGCCATAGACTCTCCCCTTTTCTGAGCCAAGTCAGTTCAACTCCCCCAAACACATCCTCCACTCCTATCTGCCTCCCCGAGGGTGGGACTGGCACAGAAAATCCCACAAACTCTCAGCCCCCCCCCATCTCCAGCTGTCTCTGGCTCAGGGTCCTGGATTTGGCCAGCTGGGAACTGTGCCCAGCCAAGTGGCCCAGGGGGGCTGTGTGAGGTCAGGGACCCAGGCTTCTGTCCAGAGACAGCGCAGCCAGGACCGAGGCGGGGTTGGGGCAGAGGGAACTGGGAAGGGGACCAGCAGGCCTGGACCCTGAGTCCAGCCCAAAGGTCCAGGCAACTTCACAGTCTCACTCAAGATGGCACCAAGGGGCAAGCAAAGGGTGGCAGCAAGATGCCCAAAGCCCTGCAGGGGACCCCCGTAGCAGTCCCTACTCCAACTTCCCACAGCTTACGTTCCACCCACCCAGCACCCACAGCCCGGCTCTGCCCCTGGGTGGTCCAGTGTCCTGAAGGAGTCCACAGGGAGAATGACCTGCCTTGTTCCTTGGGCAGAGAGGATGGCACCTCCTCAGAAGCTGGCTCTACTTCCTTCCATGGGGTGGCCTCAGCAGGGAATAGCCCTTGCTGAAGATGACAGAGGATCCGGTACACAGCAGAGGTGAGGCCTTAAGTCTGGGACCCTGGTAGGGTGAGCCTAGCTGTGCTGTTTCTGGGTTCCACCCATCCAGGGGCCCTGGAGAGGCCCCTGCCTCCTAGGGTATGGGGAGGTCATTGAGCCCATCTCTGGAGCTCCTGTGTGAGCCTGGCACCAGAGAAAGGATTTCTTCATATAAATTCCCCAGGGCTAAGCCAGGCACCCCTGGCTCACCCCTGTCATTCAAGCTACTCAGGAGGAGGCTGAGATCTGAGGATCCCAGGTCAAAGCCAGCCTGAGCAGGAAAGCCTGTGAGACTCATCTCCCATTAGCACAAAAATGCAGGAAGTGGAGCTGGGGCTCAAGTGGTAGAGCACTGTAGCCTTGAGCACCAAAGCTAAGAGACAGCGCCCAGGCCCTGAGTTCAAGCCCGAGGCCCAGCATGCACACACAAGTACGTGTTGCACAAGTGCGAGCGCACGCGCCCCCTTCCCTAGGATTAGCCAAAGTCCCATCCAGTCCCTTAGGCCACCTTTCTGAAAGTTTCCTAAAAGTTGCATGTTGTGGGCGGAGACGCCAACATTCGTCAGCCGCGCAGGGGTTGGGGAGGCCCCCGCCTGGGGGTCCCCCTGCACCAAAGCCCGCGCGGCCCCGGGAGCCCCGGCGGGCGGCGGGCGCGCAAAGTTCGCCCCACCCGTCCCCGGGGTAACAACGCAACCCGAGACCTGGCGGGGGACGACCGGGGGGAGCGGGGAGGGGAGAAGGGAGAGGGGCGAGGGGACCGAGGGCTGGGCTGTGGGGCGCCCCGGCCGGAGGGGGCGCGGCCCCCGGCGGCGAGGCGGCTTACCCGGTTGATCTCCGCCAGCCTCCTCTCCTGCTGGGCCTTGAGCAGACCAAACGCCTTCCCTCCTGCGGGGACAAAGGGCGGCCGGGCAGCGGGGGGTGTCCGGGCCCCGCGCCCCGCGCGCCCCGCCATCCTCCCCGGACCCACAGGTGGCGGCCCCGGGACGCGGGACCGGGACCACGCGGAGAACAGCGCGGGGACAGCGGGGGACCGCGGGGGAACAACGGGGGACCGCGGGGGAACAACGGGGGACCGCGGGGGAACAACAGGGGTACTGCGCGGGGACAACGGAGGACCGCGCGGAGAACAGCGCGGGGACAACGGGGGGGACAACGGAGGGCCCGCGCGGGGACAGCGGGGGACCGCGCGGGAACAGCGGGGGACCGTGGGGGGGACCGCGCGGGGACAGCGGGGGACCGTGGGGGGGACCGCGCGGGGACAGCGGGGGACCGTGGGGGG